TTGTGTTGGGGTGGGAGAGACTGAGAATTTGCTGCTGCGCTGCAGGATGGGCTCCGCCTCCTACCTGGACCCACGGAAGGGCTCAGTAGGTGGTGGAGCAAGCAGAACTGGTGGAGCCTTAGGTCTGGTCAGCTCTGGTCTGCTCGCTAAGATGGTTATTCTGATATGTAACGCGGTGCGGGGCCCTGTACAGAACCCCACAGGGGATGATGGGTTGTGAGACTCGGGTTTATCCAGTGCCTGGAAGCCAGGGGCGGGCCCTGCACGCAAACGTTGTAAACTAGCGGGGCAGGCGCAGTGCACGCAGTGCACCCTGTGGTGGCGGCGGCACCGACAGCAGGTGGGTCGCAGCGGGTCTAGCGGAACGGCTGCTGTGGGGATGTAAATGCGAGCGAAGGTTTGAATATCTGGGGGCCCGGGGCATGGCGGAGGCAGCCAGCCCCAGCAACCGCGGGCTGGGGCGCATATGGCGAGGGGAGGTGCCCACAGCTTCTACATCCGGGACTCAGGGCCCTTGCAGCTCAGGCCTCCTGGCCTCAGGTGAGCTGATCCTCCAACCTGTTAGAAGGGGGGGTGATCGCTTTTCCCTGAAGCCAGGTGTCCCCTTTGGCCAGGCTCCGGGTTGCAGACGCGCAGCTGTTCCGGGTCCTGGGAGCCTGGCCCTGATCCAGGGACGCCTCCCATTCTTTCTTGCTCATGGAGCCTGTTCCAATCCTAGCTAATGTTCTTAAGCAATTTCCCACTCACCCTCAGAAGCACCTGCAGGGTTCGCAGGTCCGCTCCAGGTCTGCACCACCCAGCCACATCCAATGTCCTGAAGACTGGCAGGAAGGACCTCAATGCTTTCAATCCCTCCTGCCCACAATCCCCGGCCCCCTGTACCCCCTCTTCAACACACCGTCCCATTTAAGCCTTCTAAGGTAGGTCCCTGGTGCAGGTGTCCTGGTTCCTAGGGAGAGGAGAGACCTGGATGGACAGTCTGTGAAAGAGTGGAGGCTGGCTGGTTGGTTATTCCTGTTGTCTGTCCCCAGCAGTTTCCAGAAGCTGGCTCAGGATTCGTCAGCCGTCTGCCATGGCCCGGGGACTGCCCAGCGCTGCCCGCCTGGCACGCTTCTGCCAGAAACTGAACCGTCTGAAGCCACTGGAAGAGTCTAGCATGGAGACATCACTGCGGCGCTGCCTATCCACACTGGACTTAACCCTATTGGGTGTGGGTGGCATGGTGGGGTCTGGGCTCTATGTCCTCACAGGCACGGTGGCCAAGGACATGGCTGGCCCCGCTGTGCTCGTGTCCTTTTTGGTGGCTGCTGTAGCCTCCCTGCTGGCAGCCCTATGCTATGCAGAATTTGGAGCCCGTGTGCCCCGAACCGGCTCTGCATATTTGTTCACCTATGTGTCCATGGGTGAGATATGGGCTTTCCTCATAGGGTGGAATGTGCTCCTGGAGTACCTCATTGGAGGCGCTGCTGTGGCCCGCGCCTGGAGTGGCTATCTGGATGCCATCTTTAACCACAGCATTCGCAACTTCACCGAGTCTCACATGGGTGTCTGGCAGGTGCCCTTCCTGGCCCGTTATCCAGATTTTCTGGCTGCCGGCATTTTACTTGTGGCTTCAGCCTTTGTCTCCTGTGGAGCCCGAGTCTCTTCTTGGCTTAACCACACCTTCTCAGCCATCAGTATGGTTGTCATCCTTTTCATCATCGTCCTGGGTTTTGTCCTGGCCCGCCCGCACAACTGGAGCCCAGAAGAGGGTGGTTTTGCACCCTTTGGCTTCTCTGGCATCCTGGCGGGCACTGCCACCTGTTTCTATGCCTTTGTCGGCTTTGATGTCATTGCTGCCTCCAGTGAGGAGGCCAAAAACCCACGGTGGGCTGTGCCCATGGCCATCGCCATCTCCCTTGGCCTGGCAGCTGGTGCCTATATTCTGGTCTCCACTGTGTTGACCCTCATGGTTCCTTGGCACAGTCTGGACCCGGACTCAGCCCTTGCTGACGCTTTCTACAGGCGGGGCTACAGCTGGGCTGGCTTCATTGTAGCAGTTGGCTCCATCTGTGGTAAGGGCCCCTTCTGGGCAGGATGGGAGGGGACAGGGTAGTGGGCCTCACCCAAAGCCTCTCAAAATACTTCTATCCAGTTTTACTACCTGTATAATGAGCTCACGAAAACACTGGTTTTCAGGGACTTGTTGGCAGAGCCCCTCTCCCCACAAATGGTGCACAGAATATCAGTTTGTAGCACGTGCTCACAGGTCCTCCCCTGGCCGACTGCCAGCTCCCAAAGGGTCTTTAATGGGCCTGGACCTAAATGGAAGTGTCCCCTTCCTAGGTGGGAGGTGAGAAGCTAATACCCTCAAAACAGCAGCAGCTCCTGCTGTGCTTCTCTGCCATGCTGATTGCTCCCTGTGCTCTGCTGCAGCTATGAATACGGTCCTGCTCAGCAACCTCTTCTCCCTGCCTCGCATTGTCTATGCCATGGCCGCCGACGGGCTCTTCTTCCAGGTGTTTGCCCGTGTGCACCCCCGGACACAGGTGCCTGTAGTGGGAATCCTGGTGTTTGGGGTCCTCATGGCTCTGCTGGCACTGCTGCTGGACCTTGAGGCACTGGTCCAGTTCCTATCCATCGGCACCCTGCTGGCCTATACCTTTGTAGCCACCAGCATCATTGTGCTGCGTTTCCAGAAAGCTTCTCCACCCAGCTCCCCGTGCCTAGCCAGCCCTGGCCCCACAGCTAAGAAGTATGACTCCTTCTCCGACCACATACAACTAGTTGGTGCTGCACAGACCTCTATGTCTGAGCCTGGGCAGCTGCGACCAGCCCTGAAACCCTTCCTGGGCTTCCTGAATGGATGCAGCTCCGGAACTGCTGTGGCCTGGGCGCTTGGCATCTTGGTAGCCTCGGCTATCTCCTTGGCGTGTGTGCTGGTCTTCGGGAACTCAGAGCTACACCTCCCACGGTGGGGCTATGTCCTGCTGCTGGCTGTCAGTGGGGCTGTCTTTCTGTTCAGCCTCCTGGTCCTGGGGGCTCACCAGCAGCAAAAGAAGCAAGACACTTTTCAGGTATATCCCCATCCCCCACCCGGTTCCTCACCAATACTCTTTCTTCTTAGGCCAACCTATTTCCTTTGCCCCAGCCTTACATGTCACCTGAGAAGGCACAAGGGCTCAGTGGGGCTGGGGAGGCAGGTTTATGCGTTCCCACTTCCTCCACCACTCTGCATGGCGAGGGTCCACATGGCTCCAAATCTCCAGAGAAGAAGAAGGGTTCTGTGGAACTTTCACAGCACGTCAGGCTCTGGACTGGCCTATCTATCCTTCAGCCAGGCTCAGCCTGACTCTTGCACCCTCAGATCCCTTTGGTGCCCCTGACTCCAGCCCTCAGCATCCTTCTCAACATTTGCCTCATGCTGAAGCTGAGCTACCTGACCTGGCTGCGCTTTATCATCTGGCTGCTGGCTGGTGAGTGGGACCTGGGCTTGGACGCAGGTCTACGACAATGGGAGGACAGAGTGGGCAGGTGGGGTTGGGAGCTGCCCCTCAGGCTCACACCCACTCCGCAGGACTTGTCGTGTATTTTGGCTATGGCATCTGGCACAGCAAGGAGAACCAGAGGGAGCCCGTGGAGCTGACTACTGCACACTACGTGGTGTTCCCCAGTGGCAGCCTGGAGGAAACCGTGCAAGCTGTGCAGCCTGCCAGCCAGGACCCGGTCCAGGAGTCAGGCTGTGCAGAGTAGTGGCCAGTCTATGAGGCTGGCTCATCAAGGGCCTCACATCGCCCACATCCAGAGACCAGAAGAACTGGCAGCTGCCTGCCAAAGGAAGCTTGGATTTGAAGCCTGCCCAGACTGGGCTAGGAGTGTTGTCAGTTCCCAGGAGCTGAGCCGTCCGTCTTCATGAGATCGGCCTTGGCCAGTGCTTTTGTGGACTCACTACCCAGTGCCTTCCTATTTATGATCATTTCTGGATACCTGGGCAGGTGGGGCAGAGTGGGCAAGGACGAGGCTCCAGCCCCTGGAACCTCATAATAATAACTAATCAGCTAGTGTTATAACCAGCTATTGTGTACACTGTAGCATTCTTTGTGGCACTGAGTTCTTACTTGCCTGAAGAACCAAACAATTGTCCCCAGTCTACAGCAGGGACACAGAAAGTCTAGCAGAAGTCTCTCTGGGGAGAGAAGATGCATGCATAATATGAAGAGGGGCATGTGACAAGACAGGGACAGATTTCTCGCGTGTCCTCTGTAAGGGTGTTTGTGTGTGCGTGCATGCATATATATGTGTGTGTGCATGTGTGTGTATGTGTTAGTGGCACTTGAGATTCTTAGGCAAGGATTCCACTAGTGACATATATCCCCAGATCCCTGACATGTCCTCTAGTGGGGTATATATATCACGACCTGGGCTCAAGGAAGGTAATTCAAGAATGCATTGGGTGTCCATGTCTCTTGATTTTCCTGGGCTCCTGGGAGTCAAAGCACATGTCCAAGGACTGCCTAGGGACATCGAAATGCACTAAACACAGGTGCATGTCCACGAGACCCTCCCCCCAGCACATTCCTGCATGGCCCACACAGCTGCCCTTGGAGTGCACACTATGTACAGACTGCATTGACCACTGTTTCCAAACCCAGGCTCCAGGCCACAGCTCACTCTTTTACTGTCTCTGTATACACTGGGAGAGTTTTCAGATGAAGCCTTTGGGGTCTCTATTACTTATTCATCTCCAGGGCAACAGTGTTCACAAGAGGCACGCTTGGAGTAGCACCTGAGCGGTACACCTCTGTGTACGTGGATACACAGGTAATTGGGCCTGCACCACTGCCTTCAGCCTAGACAGCTGTGGGGCCAGTTCAGAGAGGGGAAAGTCCCAGGTCTCCTCTGTACCTCACACTGGGGTTCCCGTGACTGGGCACTGTCTAAGATGGACATCTCCCTTTTCCCATTCCTCTCTTTAAGGACTACACGGGAAGCTGCTTGCTTTGGCAAGCTTTACTTCAGCAGTGATACCAGGGTTCTTGGGATCCCCTAGGACTGCTGAGTCCACACAACCCACCTGCAGTAACCAGGCCTTCCCATTCTGTACTTTGGAGGCCAGAGCCCTGAGCGGCATCCTTTCGGAGGATCCGGAAGCCAGGTGATCCTGGACGCTGGTGCAGCTTTGGCCTCGGCTCTGGGACTTCCTCGGTCACCGTGCATCCATAACACAGCTGCCTCTTTCCTTCCACGGGCGCACACTTGGACCAAGAAAGGGCTGTGTTTCTGCAGCCCTTGTGCCTGTCATCCTTTCTATGGGCCCTGGGGCATGGGGAAAGTCTACAGCTGGGGAGGAATTGAAGCCCTGTGTGCATACAGATCCAGAACCAGCTATTCCTGAGGAAACACGGAGGCCTTCATGGAGATCATACCTCGAAACTCTGGCACTCTGACCGGGACCAGAGGTAGGGCCTCCGGCAGGCAGGTGCTTCAGCATGCATCAAGGTTGTCAGGAACATCTTGATGGCAGGAAGGCCTAGATTTGCAGCCTCTCATGTTTCTAGGCCCCTGAGAAACCTAGTCAGGTCAAGGGGGCTTGAACTGGATGGCAGAGTCGCCCAGAAGACAGAGAGGCCCAAGGAATTAGGCAATCAATCATTCGGCCATGTTGCCTTCTCCCTCTCTCAGGCTAGACCTAGGAGGGGGTCTGCATGGGGAGTCTGGTGGACTCCCCCCAAGCTCCTCTGCAGTCCTGCTGGAGATTTGTCCTTGATTTTCTCAAGCCAGAACCCTCATCCTTCCCAACCCCTAAACTTTAACCTGCAGGGAGTGGCTATAAGCCTCAGAAATGGATAGGCCCGTGGATGACAGCCACCCAGACAAGGCCCCTGGTGCACGGATGTCTGGATCCCAGCAGCAACAGACATGGGGCAGGTGCAAACCCCCATCGAGACACTTGAGCAGCAGAACAGGAGTGAATTTCAGCTCAGTCTATGCGGTGTTGCTAGTTGCCTTTGGAGCCTTTGCCTACAAAGACAACAGATTAGGGATCAGGCTAACATGGCCCAAAGTGTGGGGGAACCCAGTATTGAGGCAGAGTGGCTTCCGCTCTGGGACACAAGCAGGCCCACAGCTCACTTCTTCATACTTGGTCCTCCAGTAGAAACGGGCTTCTCTATCCACGTACAGTAGCAGCAGGTCACAGAGGAAGGTGACCTGGAAGAGGCAGGACCTATCATGTTCCAGATTCCTCAACTCACCCCCCTCAAGCCAATCCCTCACCCGGGACAAAATATGCAGGTTCAGTGGGTGCCAGCAGGCCCTGGCTGGCAGTGACTGCGGCCCAAATCAACCTTAGATTCAGACTTACCATGCCCAGCCAAGCTGCTCCAGTGCCCACTGTGATGGCCGTTGGAATGAGTGCAAACTTCCCTGCCTGAGAGACCCGGGTTGAGTCTCTGGGGCTGGGGCTGTCCCCCTAAGCTTCCACAGCCCCTTCCTCTGGTCTAAACTTTACCTTCCCAGTGACAAGAATGTCAAAGCGGATCCCATAGAGCTTGAGCAGGCTCCGGGCCTCCACACCCGAGGCTTCCCACCAGTGATTGGCTGTCCTGGGGAGAGCAGAGAAGGCGCCATTGGTTTGCATCCTGCATTTCAGGCTGGATTATCTATCCATGGACTTTACCAGCCCAACCCTAAGTCCTAAATCTTAGGCCCCGTGTAGGTGTTAAGGACAGGGGAAAGCAACCCAGAACCTGGTTAGGGCCTGAGTGGAGGAAGATTGCTGCCTACTGAGGGTCAGGGAGGGGCATGGAGCCGAAATAGATGCTGGCAGCAGGTATGGGAGAAGGAAGGTGGGGTGGAGGTGAGGGCTGTCAGAATCCCTAGGCTGCAATTCCTTTCAGCACAGAACTGGGGATGAAAGTGAACGCAGGTGCTGTGGCAGGGCTCGGGAAGGGACTCTGCACAGAGAGAAAGGTGCCAGCAAGGGCCCACGGGCACGGAAGCCACCCTATAAGGTTGTAAGAGCTGGGGAGCCAAGCGCAATAAGTTATACCTTATGGCCAAGTGTGCCCACCTGTTCCAGTGTGTGCTAAAATGATATTACGTGGCAGGAGGAGCCCAAGATTCTAGCTGGGAAACTGAAAACATGACAATACCTGCAATTTAAGGTCTCTTTGTGCCTCTGGGATGGGAAAATACAGATTTGGGAACATTGCTAACACAGTGGGGGGAATATAAAATCTTAGATTTGATCTACCAGCACTTTTTCCTAGCTTCTTTCCTCTTTCTCCTTCCTTCCATCCCTCCTCCATTTGCCAGGTTGTCCCAGACTTGCTATAAAGCCAAGTACAACTCTGACCCCTAACCCTCCTTTCTCTGCTGCCCAAGGGCTGGGACTAGGATTACAATCATGCACTGTGACCAGCTAGCCAATGTCCGGAGTTTCTGCGACAATGGGACAGTGGTCATGTGGAAACATCCCTTGAGAGTGTTGGGAAGGGATGAGGATCCAGTATCTGACATTTACTCTCAAACAGTCCTGAGGGCCTGGGTCCAATCTCTAGTGCTGCCAGGGAAAGAAAAAGCAACGCTATCAAACCCCAGGTCAGAAGTATATGAATATATGTGCCACTAGTCTGAATTTTTCCACTGATATTTTTTTTGAGAAGCTTTTAGATAAAGTCCTATAGGGAAATTAAAGATGAAAGGTATCTGTGCTCTGGAGAAGCAGGGCCATCTGCGAGAGGCTGTGCTAAGATCTGCAGTGGGAAGCCTGTACTAACAGGTGAGTGAGGGGAGATGGAAGGGAGCTGGGGCCTGGGTGCACCCGTGGGACCCTTGCACATACAGTAGAGATCCTGCGGTCTGAGTTGGGCGTGCTCTGATCTGTGGTCGCAGAGAGATAGGTGGAGAGGGTACTAGGCCAGGAACAGCAAGCCAGGACTATGGCAGCAAGGGCCATACCTGAAGTTGTAGCCCCTCTCCTGAAGCTGGAAGGAGTACTGGGGACGGCAGTCAGAGCCTCTGGTGTCCAGGTTGCAGTCCCAGTGGATTCTGATGGCCACAGCGCCACCCTGCATACAACACATTTCTGTTCCCCTGGTAGATGGGCGTGAGACCCTAACCCTGAGCTGCAGGAACTCTGCCCCCAGATGACTTACCAGCAATGCCAGGTCCTCAAAGTCCCCTCCAGCCATGGCCACAAGGTCCCCAATGCGGAAAACTGGACAGTACGGGCTCGAGTGTGGATCGTAGCGACAATGCTTGAAATAGGTACTGTCCCAGGTATCTAAGGCATTGGTTCTAGAAAGGACAGTGATAGGGATCAGATTATCCAAGAGGCATGGAGGATCTGGGCTCAACCAAGACCTGCCCATGCTTACTTGGAGAAGTTGAACTTGCTGAAGGTGACAGTATTTTTTATGAAAAGTGTGAAGTTCTTGGCCTGAACTAGGAGGGGCTTCCTGAAGAGAAATGATATACTGGCATCAGTTTGCTTATCCTGGGCCCTCCCCTGGGAGAAAAGGAGACTTACCTGGGCACGGTACCACTCTCCACTGGGCACCAGCTCCAGATCTCACAGGTCCTGTGGGTTCCGTTGAACACCACACACTGACCCGTTTTTATGCCTTGAAAACACAAAGTGAGCTCCAAGGCCTCAAGTCTCCGTGGGTTCTGAGGAGGGTGCGAGGCATGGGCTTGTTGGCAGGATGAGAGGGCACACAGACAAGCACAGCAGGGCCTGCGGGGACCACACAGCATTCCCTCCCCTCCCCTGGTTCCAGTAGAGGTGCCAGAGGACCAAGCCCACAGTTACCATGGCTGTGCGTTCCTGTCTCCCCTTCAGGGCAGTCCGTGTCATCCCAGCAATTGGCCAGAGGAACGGAAGGGTGCTGAGGTAAGAGAGACTCTAGTCACCAACCGCACAGACTACAAGGCAAGACCCCTGGGATTCCTCCCAGGATATCCTGGGTCAGGAAGCACAGGGAAGTGACAAGCTGTAAGCTGGAGGGAGAAACCAACATCCTTCTGTAAGATGGGGTACAGGGCTGTATTCCAAGAACAGAGGAGACTCCGCTCTCCCGACAACTCCATCCCTGAGAGTTCACAGAGGCCCAGCTCTTCTGCACAGCTGGGATAACAGAGCAGAGGTGGTGCTGAAGAACCATTGAATGACAGGCTAGTGGTGCCCAATATAAGGCAGCGTAGCTATCGAAGAGCAGGGCCTACAGTCATAGGGGGCTGTGCAGGGAGGAAAGTCCCACACACCCGCTAAGGTCAGTCTTTTCTGCCAAACATGGACATTGTGTCTCCATAAACCCAAAGAGTCATGGGGAGCACTACGAGGTAAAGGTAGCTTCCGGGGGGTCCCCAACCTGAGAGAGGAAGGCAGCCTTGAGCTTCAGAACCCCTGTGGAGACTCAGCTCATGTGGAACGCTAGGAGGACCACAGCACCATGGAAGCAAGAATGGTCGAGGGACTGAAAAGCCAGGAGACTTAGGACTTTTGTGAAGGATGGGACTGTGACTGGTAGCAGGTGCCACAGTAGTGCCACTTTCTCTGCCTTTGCTGTCCCAATCTGTGTCTCACTGTGTCTCCAGATCCTCCAGCCAGACTCCATGGTGAGATGTGCGCACCTCTACTCAGCGCCTAAGGAATGAGAGACTGGGGGTCTTTTCCATGCCCCATTCTGGCTACCTTCTGCTCACACATCAAGTCCAGCTTCTTAGCAGGACTCAGAGGGTCCAGGAGATCTTGGGTTGTGCTTTTTGTGACCTAGCTCTAGCCTGTGCTCCAGCTCAGTGAGCGGCAGGTATCCCTGGAGATACCTCACCCCCTCACACAGCCTGGGCCTCTGCCCAAGGGGCGCCCTCTGCCCTGGCATCCTGTTGCGGCCACAGTGACCCAGGTCACCAGCTCCTTTAAGATTTAGTCCATACATTTCCCTAAGTCTCCCCACTGCAGCCTCTGCCTCATGGGCACTGTAGAACCGGCTGCCTTGGCTGGGCCAGAGCTGCAACTTGAGGTACAGGGAACTGGAGCTCTGCCAACTGAGCACAGGGCCTGACCTAGATGGGGGCAGGGATGCTCAAGGAAGGTTTGCAGAGAGATATGACACTCTATTGAGCACATTCTTGGAGGGCCAGGTCACTATTCTTCCAAGAACAGCTGGCAGGAACTCTGGTTATCCTCGGGGAACGGGTCATCAGACCAGGTGAGCTACTTCCCAGTCATGGGAGGTTCACTGGAAGAGCCAGAAGCCTCAGACAAGGAAGAAGGAAAAACCGTGTGCTTTCTAGAAAGTGGATGTGGAGGTTTAGTGAAGTTTTGGAGCTACATGTTAAACCTGGAGTCAACATCCTCTACGCATGGGGAGGTGGGGTATGGCCTGGGCTCCCCGAGGGACACACATGCATCACCTCCTTTATGGATAGGGCTCAACTGTGGGCGTGGGACACCCCCTGAAACTATAATGTGACCAGATACCAGAGCCTGGAGTCCAGTGAGCAAAGGCTGGACTTGAATGTGGGCTTGAGTGGACGGGGTCATGACTTCCACACAAAAGCCACGGTTGGTGAGAGCTAGTGTGTCCTTTGAAAGATTGTCTGGAATATTTCCAAACGCGAGAAACAGACAAGAATGAGGCAGAAGGCTCAAACATGAACACGCGTGGGCCGAAAAACACCCAGAAATCATAAATTAGCTGAAAGTGAAAGCAGAAGCGTGCTAGCTCATTCCCCAGACGAAAGCTGACTCAGGATACGTTACTAAAAGCCGACAAAGAGAAGTGCTCTCCCAGCTTGCCTCCTGCTGTTAGTGCCCTCTTGAGTGTGTGCCTGGCTGTAACCCAGAGGCAGGACCAGCATGGGAAAGAGAGGTCTGCTGCTGTAACCCACACTTGGGGTGCCTTTGAGCAAGTGACTGAAACTTGTGTACCCCAATCACCTAATGGGAGTTATAGTACTTCTGGTAGACGACAGATGTAAAGACTTGGTGAAATGATTTCTAGAAACATTTAGCCCGTTGTCTGGCATAGATAAACCAGGCTCAGAATGAGCCTTGAGCCTTGTGTGGAGGAGAAAGGAGTCGGCAGTGGTGAGAGAAGCAGGGGTGCGTTAGAGGCTCTGCACAGACTTACCTCTGGGCATCTGCCCTGGACTTGAGCTGGTGTCACGAGGAAATTGGTCACCAGGAAGAACACATTCTCTCCCTAGAAGGCAAGACTGGAGGTTGGCTTGAGTTGAACTCCACCAGTTGAGGGGCCAGAAGCTGACAGCCTGTTTTGTTTGCCTTTTGTTGCTCTCGGCGCTGGGAATGGAACCCAGTATCTCAGGCCTGCTGGGCCAGTGCTCTCCTGCTGAGGTATAGCTCAGCCTGGTAGCCTGGATTCCGCAGGACTATTTTTTGGCCCCATCTAGTTACCAGCTTTGTGCTGCAGTGATGACCAGCAAGGCAGGCAAAGCTGGCTGGGTTTACGGCCTTTCCTGAGCCCAAGGAAGCGCCATGCCTCTATTCCATATCTTCCTTCTGAGCTTCATTTCAAACTCTCATGCACTCATCCAGTTTTTTTTCCAAGAACCTCCCGAACCTAGGCACTGAAGAACGAAAGTGGGGCAGACATGGACAGCTGATCACGGGCGCAGCAGTCCGGCAGGGGAGTGCTTGTGCAGAAAGCTAGCGCCACCTACAGCCAGAAAATGGTCAAGGCTCTGTAGCTACCTTTGCGTCACCCACGCTCCACAATACCCTTCACTTAACGCGCCTATAGGTGACCACAATCACTCATTGGTTCACAGAACTAATTTGGAATGAAACTGGCCCGTGGTGGTGCGCTAGGAGAGGCTACAGACATTTGTTTATGTCTCCTCTGGAGATGTCGCACAGCAGCTGATAGTCGGAGCCAGGTCAGCTGGGTGGAGGGAGAAGGGAAGATGAGTGGGGGAGGGGAGAGGGAGAGCCAGATTACACCCTGACAGGCAAATACAGGAAAAGCCATGCATCACCCACAAGATGGCCAGCTTCTTCCTCCCTGCACCTATCCAAGACAAAGGCCTGGTAAGTGATGGAGGAAGGTCATTGGTTAAATAAAAAGAAACTGCTTGGCCCTCATTGGTTAGAAGATAGGTGGGAGGAGTAAACAGAACAGAATGCTGGGAGGAAGAGGAAGTGAGCTCAGACTCCACAGCTCTCCTCTCTCGGGAGCAGATGCCTCAGAGAGACGCCATGCCCCGCTCCCGGGCAGACACATGCCCTGAAGCTCTGACCCAGGATGGACTAGGCTAGAATCTTCCCGGTAAGACCGGTTCTCACAGATTATTAGAGATGGGTTGATAGGGATATCAGAATTAGCCAGTAAGGGCTAGAGCTAAAGGGCCAAGCAGTGTTTAAATGAATACAGTTTGTGTGTTGTTATTTCGGGGCATAAGCTAGCCAGGCGGCTGGGGTGCCAGGGACGCAGCCCCGCCCATATTACTACAGGTAAGCTTATTTCTTTTCTGCCAGAAGGGTCCCCTTCTGCATGAGTGGTCTAGACCAGTCCAGTATGTTTAAGGCTGGTCCTGAACACATCTCATTTTGTATGAATCTATGGGCCTATCAGCTTCCTCTGTTGGGAGAAGTCCTTCAGCCTATGGCCTTTGAGATGCTGGACCACTTTGGGCGTGGCCGTGTGCACTATAAAAACAGATATAGAAATGTGCTCTCTCTCTCTCTCTCTCTCTCTCTCTCGACTGCTGGATTTGGTTCCTGTTCCCTGCTCGTGCAGAGGACTGTTGATCTGTGAGTCTACCCCCAAATAAAGAACCCTTTATTATACTCCATTCTGAGCTAGTGTGGGACTGCTTTGTTGTAATCGCCAACATTCCTCCTGTAAACTGGTCATCCTGACTTCAGGCACAGGCACCCATCCTACACCACCACAAATACTGAAGGCCAGCAGCCCTCCAAGGGAAAATGGACTTTGGTTTCTGGATACCTTCCCTCTCCTGGGAAGCCTGTGGGGGGGCATGTTCACTTTTTTTTAAATATTTATTTATTATATATTCAGTATTCTGTCTGCATGTATGCCTGCTGGCCAGAAGAGGGCACCAGACTTCATTACAGATGGTTGTGAGCCACCATGTGGTTGCTGGGAATTGAACTCAAGACCTTTGGAAGAGCAGGCAATACTCTTAACCGCTGAGCCATCTCTCCAGCCCACGTTCACTTTTAATAAGATTTATTTGACTGTAACTTATTTCCTGCCCTTATGCCTTTTGTTGAGTAGTTTTATTTAATTACTTAATGTGTCTGAAAGAATGTGTGCTATTTGTGTGCCTGATGCCCTCAGAGACCAGAAGAGGGCACTGGAACTCCTCTGGAACTGGGGCAACAGAAAGTTGTGAGCTCCATGTGAGTCCTGGGAACAGAAACAACCCATATCTCCTTGAGAGCAGCCAGTGCTCTTAAGAGCTGAGCCACCTCCCCAGCCCCTTGCCTTTTAATTCCTTCATCAATGGAAAAATTAAACCTGACCCAAGATCCCTAAATGGGAACAAGGGAACTCCAGAAAGTTCAAACCCTGAACTCCTGTGCAAAAACTCCAAGCAAAAATCTTGTGCCCAAGATACTTCAATCCTTATCAGGTGTATCTTTGTGTGGGCGGTGGACGGGTGGGTATGATTTTTTTTTCTTGATGGTATTAGGAACTGATCCCAGGAAGTTATGTCCACCAGGCCATTGCTCGGATTGACTCGGCACTCTACTGAGGGGCCCTTCCCCTTTCCCAAGCCCTTCAGCCACCCGCCCCGGCACCACGGGCATCCCGTGTATCTCATGCACAGCAGCTGCGAGACCGCTGTCTGTGGCTGAAGGACTCTGGACCTACCTGTGATGGCTTCACGAAGTCAGCCACATCCCACAGCCGGTTCTCTAGTTCCTTAATCTGGGCCACGGAAACCCCTTTGAGTTTAGTGATGACAGAAATCTGGGGGTCCAAGTCCAATTCCTGGTAGCCTTTTTTGGCCAAGAGGGCCCACCTGGGGAGAAGGTGATGGACAGCGTCATGTGATGGGATGAGGAGTGGCTAGGTCTATAACACTGGGCTGTCTTGTGTCCTCCAGAGGCTCCTAGGCCAGCATGGGGGGCCTCGCCCTTCCGTCCAGAGACCCAGAGCAGGTGGAGCCCTCAGCTGGAGCTGTCAGCATGGCCACTTTTCACATGTCAGTGCCTCCCAGCAAACCCAGCTCCCTGCTCCAAGACATTTCAGACATCCAGCTAGCGGTCTCTCGGGGAGCCTGAGGGCTCCATTGCTCACAGACACCAGGAATTGCTGCCTCCTGCCCCCCTCCCCCAACATCTCAGGGCAGGAGTCCCGCAATTGTGCCCAGAGACCAAGATGAAGCTGGGTCCAATATCCCATATGTGGGTCCATGGCTTCTGCTGTCTTCTGAATGGACTAAAATCCCCCCCCTACTGACCACCTCTTACCACCCCCATGCCCACTCTGCCACCAGCTGGACTTCTCAAAGCCAGTTCCTAGCTGTCAGCCAGCAAGGCCTGCAGCAGTCTCTGCAGCTAGCCTGGCCAGGGGCTGCTCTCTTACCCTATCACGTAGGCCACCACTCCCAGCTGAAGCAGCCTCTGAGAGAAGCCCACCCGGCAGTTTCTTGTCAGCACGTACTTCTCTGTCTTGTAATCCAGAAGCCCCCAGCCCACGAGTGCTGCCACGGCAGCAGAAGCCATGTTCCCAGTCCCTGCTGGCACCTAGTGCGTGAGTCAGCAGGCAGCTGCTTCAGCTGCAGCTGAACTGGGAGCAGAACAGCCATGCATGGGCTCCAGGCCAATGTTAAAGGGACATCTCCACTCGGCCGGATTTGACTCCTGGCTCAGTCCCAAACCCCAGGTGATCTAGGCCTCCCATCCCGGCCGGAGTCCCTGGGTTGGATCCTATACAGACAGAAAGGAGTAGTCTTGTCCCTGCCCATCCACTCCACTTCTTTACAGGGTGGGCAGTGACCAAGGTGGAGTAACAGAAGCCCAGAGAAGGGGCTCTGAGCTTAAACTTGCATATTCCAAAGTGCAACGGATCAAGTTGGTTTGAGATGTCTGCTGGTGCAGCAGCATAGCAAAGATTAGCTCTCGAGAGGAAGCTGAGCTCCTCAGGCAGGGACAGCATAGTTGCGGCTTCAGAGAAAAACCTTTATTAGACTCTACAGGGTCCTCAGGTCTTCCCTAGAGCCTCCTCCTGCCCCAAAACACAAATTGGAAAAGTCCATGAAAAGAGCACGGAGGAGGTGACCACCCCCGTGCATGGCAGCAGTATGTGCGGTAGTTAGCCCTGGTGAAGAGTGTGCCAAGGTCGTGGTGCTTCTGCAGCCGCAAACAACACGCAGTTTCCCGGGAGACCGCGGGGTGGGAGGGGAGCATCATTACTGGCCCCAGTGACCACCTGTTGCCCATAAATCAACTTCGATTGGTCAATGAAGTCAGAGGGACCGCCCACATCCCTGGGAAGAGTTCCAGCTAGTGAGCTGTGCGCTCTCAATCTCTGCGCCCCGACTGGGAATTGAGCGTAAACATGAAGGGTTCCGACAAGGAGTCTACGAAGAATGAAGATCAAGAGAGAGAAGCAGCGGCCACTGCGAGTCAGGCAGAGGCCCTAGAGGCCAAGAATTTCTGCACCGCAGATTCACACTTTGCTCTGGAAGCAGAAGGTGCCTAATCCTCCGCGTGGGGTCCTGGTCGGACTTCTCCCGCAAGGGTGGTGCGGGTCCGACTGGCGCGGGACCACACCCTTCAGTGGCGCCGCATCCTCCATTATCAGCAGCTGACAAGTCCCTTGCCTTCTTGGAGGCTCGAGGAGGCCCAGTGCTTAGAACTGTCTTGCAAAATAACCTGTAAATCAAACACCCTGACAGTGTGTTCCACCTGGAAGGGTTCAGGGCTGGCCTTTCCAATCTATAGAAAAATTTTAATGGATGTATTAAATTTGTCTAGAATTATTTTAGAATTATTAAACACCATAAGGTGTTTGTAGACATGACCTATGGGCTGAAAATGTAGCTCAGTTGGTATAGTGCTTGCCTACCATGCTTGAAGCCTTGAGTTCGAGGCTCTCCTCAGCTAACCAGTTGGAGACCAGCTTTTGGGGGGGCGGGGAATGTGATCTTTGATACCTGAATACAATGGGATAGGGCCAGCATACACCTCAGTGTTAGGCTCCCATTGGTTCTGACTAGGTCTGTAACTTTCTCTTTCTTTCTTTCTTTCTTTCTTTCTTTCTTTCTTTCTTTCTTAGCCATGATGTCCTCATCTGAACTATGAGTGTGGTAACCACTGACAGGGCAGGAAAGGTGATAGGGCTGTGCCGATGTAGAGTTCCTCTTTTGTCCCCCTGTCTACTGTTAGGCACCCATGGGCTTGAAGAACAGGTCATGGCTACCCTCTATCTGGAGTCTTGCCAGGCCCATAGTGTTGTGCCGGCTTCTCGTCTTCTGTGCCAAGGGAGTGCCTCTGAATTGAGCCTTCGGCACCGTGGCCTGGGGCCCCAGGTATCTGTTGAGGGACGCTAGAACCAGGTTTGGCAGGAAGGATGCGGGAGACAGTGGCCATTTTGTCCTTGAGTCCATCTCACAAGCTCCCAGCCTTCCTCTGTGCCATGCATCCCATCTCCCCTGCCCGCGGCACAGAATGGAGGCTGTGGTGGGGTGAGGGCTGGACCTGTAGACATCCCTGCAGGAGATGGCAGGGTCCTGTGTCCCTCTGCCCCTCGGGTACCTCTCTGCTCTCTTCCAGGGTGTCCGGGCTCTGGCTTCCACGTTGACTTCTAATCTCTACATCAAGCGCCTGGATCTTCGGGATAATGGGCTCTGCGGGGCTGGGGCAGAGGCTCTGGCCGATGTCCTGTGTAAGAACAGCGTTATCTCTGGTAGGTGCTGAGTTTCTGAATAGCAGGCATGCTTGGGGGCGCTCTTTCTTCAGGGAAGTGGCTCCTATTGTAATTTAGAAAAAGATGTCATGCAACAGAATTCAGGTGGAGATATTTTTTTATTGGGGGAAAGTTAATGGGAAAAGGGGGGGAAGAGATTGGGGGAGACTGGCCACTGGGGACAGAAGTGGTAGAAGAGAGAGACAGAGACAGACAGACAGAGACAGAGAGGGAAAGAGAGATGGGAGGTGGGCAGGGTTAGTGGCTTTGCTGAGGACATATACCCCAAGGTCAGACCAATTCAGATACCCGAATACTAACAGTTCCCTCACCAGGCCTTTTTACTTGCAGTGTTGCTAAGGGATAAGGAGGGTCCTCATCACAGGGTGAGGCTTGCGGGATGAGTTTGACTTTCTGGGAGTTTCCTCATTGGTGTAGCCAATGCTGAATGTCACTCTGCCTGACCCATCCCACGGCTATCACTCTCCTCTCCCCCGCTGGGCACCTCACCCATGCACATGATAGACTCCCGGTGCCTGAGTGCAGGATGGAAGAGGCACAGAGAAACAGGGTCTCCGTCTACTGAGAACTGTAAGGGCAAGGCAGGAGACGGGCGAGGCTGCTTGCAGACGACAGCTCTGCTGATGAAGCAGGAGCTGACCCAGGCAAGCAGCACAACCCTGCTGGGCCTGTTCTCCATCTAAAAAAATGACCACAGCAGTGCCACTCAGCTCTCTGGGCTGTGGACAACATCAAAGGCAATGACAGAACTGGACCCAGGGGAACACTGAGCACACACTGGTAGTGTGTGTTACTCCCTAGAGTAGGTCAGGGCTTTTGAGGAGGTTACATTGTTTCAAGATGCCAGTCATCAACAGGGTAGCTGACTCTCTACCACAGCATTCTTCACAGACAATCATGGGATGGGGGAACCCAAGGTGACCCAGCCAATAGGTGGCAAAGCCAGCACCATGCCATCCCTGGGTAATCAGATGGCAGAGGCCCTTCTCTTCCTTGGGCTGGAGGTTTATGAGATGCAGGGAATGCAGGAGGGTGGCTCCCAGCCACGGTTCCTACCGACCAAGCAGTGGTGCTGCCTTCAGATGTGGACCTGTCCGAGAACCAGATTGGAGCTGCAGGGCTCCGGGCTCTCTGCACTGCCCTGGCCTTAAACCCTGCTGTGCAGAAGATGCAACTGGGAGGAAACGGGCTGGAGGAAAAGGCTGCCCAACACCTCGCTTCTCTTCTGCTGCTCCACACGGGCCTGAGATCCCTAGATCTCAGCTATAATCAGCTCAACGACCTGGCAGGTAATACTTGGTCTGGGCAGTCATGGGTCACGAGTACTCACTGGACACTGATGGCAGGGAGGGGAATGGAGGGCCATACCCAGCTTCTGCCAGAAATATCTCTCCAACCACACAGAATTCTCAATTCATTCCAGGCATGTCTCACTGCCCTCGGGTGGGGATCGATGAACAAAACAAAGTTACTGACTTCAGGGAACATACACTAACAAAAGCATTCTCGGGAATTCGTGGCCTTCCAAGAGAAGCAATGTATGGCCCCAGGAAAGAACGGACCACCTGCTGTAGAGGGTTGGGTGTTTAAACTGAAATCTGTGTGTGGGGTGGAAGGGAGTCAGCCATGGCCTGATCAGGAAGCTGATGAACTGTGAGCATGCAGGCCTGTTTCCTAGGTTGGGAGACACCCGTGTAGTTGGACGGGTGATCAGGGGAGAATGACCAGGCTGTGGTTTGGAAGGGAAGCAGGACTATGTGGCCCTCAGGTCACAGCTGGAGGTATGAAGCTTTCATTCCAAGTGTTTTTGTAAAAGGGCTGTGATGTAACTCGATGGTAAGGTGCTTGTCTAGTGTGTGTGAGGTCTTGGATTCAGTCACCGGTACTGCAGAGGTGGGGGGAAACTAAGTACTATGAAAGACATGGATAGGCTACTTAAACCGGTTGTTGTCTCCCCAGGGCCTTTGAATGGGCTGGATGCTTTGCCAGGAATATGAATACCTATGCCACTCATCTCTAAATGTGCCAGTTAGTTATACAAATGAAGCTAGGTATAACTACTTGGAAGACCAATTGAGCCCAGAAACTTGGGGGCAGTCCAGCAGCATGGAAGGGTCACCTGGGCCTGGCTTTAGGGGTTTCTATCTCCTGAATTGGCTGAAGCAAATTCTTCTCTTTAAACATTTACTTCTACTTATGTGAATGTGAGTGAGTGTGTGTCACATGTGTGCGGGTACCTGTGTGGCTAGAAGATCACATCCTGTCCTCTGCAGCAGGACTTACAGAGGGCTATGATCCGCCCAGTGTAGGTGCTGGGAACTGAACTCAGCTTCTCTGGAAGAGCAGCTGGTGCCCTTAGCTGCTCAGGCACTGGAGCAGAACCTGATGCAAATTCTTAGATGCCCATGTGTCTGCACTGTAGTGGGCATCGTCGTTGTCCCAGGACAGCTGTCTAATCAGGGGTTCTGGAATTTCTGGACTGTCTTAGAAAATTGAGCACATTGGCACTAACCTCGGTGCTGGAGTTTAACTGCTAAAGTCAACTGTCTTCGAAGAAAAGTATTGTGGAAAGTCCATGGAACTAAAGGAGACGCTCATTTCAGACTTCGACAAACTGTAGCTGTGTTTTTGGACTTGAGAATTTAACTTGCTGTTACTATAACCAATACCTCAGATAACCATCTTCCCAAGGGAAACAATGTATTTGGGCTCATAGTTTTGGAGATTTCAGCTTTTGATGGGCCTGTGACTGAGAAAACATTAGAAAAAGGCCGCTTAACTCATGATCCGGAAACAAAGAGGCAAAAGGAAGAGACTAGGGTCATACAGTTCCCTCAAGGGACCCCTGTAGCCTAAGACTTTTAGATATTGTTATCTGCCACATGCCAGTCTTGGAGGCCAAACTTTTTATCACGTGTATGAGTGTTTGCCTGCCTGCATGCATGTCTGTGCACTATGTGCTGCATGCCCATAGGACAGAAGATACCTGCATCAGATCCACGGAACTGCATCAGATGCATGGAACTGAAGTTACAGTCGGCTGTGGGCTGCCATGTGGGTGCTGGGAGTCAAATAGGGATCCTCCGCCAGAACAGCCAGGCTGTCATCTCTCCAGCCCAGTAAAGCAGCAAGGACCTTGGGGGTGGGCTATCATATAAGTACAGACTCTGACAGACAAGTGGCAAAGAGGCAATGAATAGGAGGGGATGGATCTGAAGCCCTGTGAAGGTGTGCAAGGGAGAAGGGCAGATTCAGTCAGTTTTGTTTCTCCAAGAGGGGACTGCAGTTTGTTCCTGAGGGGCGGAGGGGCTTGAATTTCAGTCATGCATGATCTATGGCAGTGGAGAACTCGCTGCAGGTGTGTGCCTTGCAAGACGGTGATGAGCCGGTTATCAGAACCAGTCCTGGACAAGAGACAATGCCCAAACCTTAGTTGTGGCACAGGATTCTCTTCAGGGCTAATATGCCTGCTGCTGCATGTTCTAGCCAAGCAGGAGGCTGGGAGCACTCAGGCTTGGGACACACACACACACACACACACACACACACACACCATCTATTTCCTTGGTTTGATTTAGTTCAGTTTGGTTTGGTTTTTGAGGCCAGGTCTCACTATGCAGTTCAGGGTGGCTTGGAATTCACTACTTTGTCCAGACTGGCCTTGACATAAGGGTCCCCCTGCCTCAGCTTTTCTCAGGGCTCCACCCTCTTCCTTTTGCTACTGCTCATTCTTCTTTTCTGCCATAGCTACACCAGACTTAGAGGGCTCTGTCTCTGCAGGTGCCCACAGCCAATAGGAATCTTGCTGGAACATTCGTCCAGCCGCATAGCTCTTACAGGAGCTGCTCAGCCATACATACAACAGCACCTGTGTACTCGGCTTAGCGTTTACAGACTCACAAGTGCCCACCTGATTCCTGCTGCCTCTCCACCAGCTTCAGCATCAACCCAGTTTCACTTCGTGTGCATTCTCTTTTCCATCATGTGTGCATCCCTGCTGTCCATCATGTGTGTATCCCTGATGTCCATCATGTGTGCATCCCTGATGTCCATCATGTGTGCATCCCTGCTGTCCATCATGTGTGCATCCCTGTTGTCCATCATGTGTGCATCCCTGCTGTCCATCATGTGTGCATCCCTGTGTCCATCATGTGTGCATCCCTGTTGTTCATCATGTGTGCATCCCTGTTGTCCATCATGTGTGCATCCCTGTTCTCCATCATGTGTGCATCCCTGTTGTCCATCATGTGTGCATCCCTGTTGTCCATCATGTGTGCATCCCTGTGTCCATCATGTGTGCATCCCTGTTGTTCATCATGTGTGCATCCCTGTTCTCCATCATGTCTGCATCCCTGCTGTCCATCATGTCTGCATCCCTGCTGTCCATCATGTCTGCATCCCTGTTGTCCATCATGTCTGCATCCCTGCTGTCCATCATGTGTGCATCCCTGATGTCCATCATGTGTGCATCACTGTGTCCATCATGTGTGCATCCCTGATGTCCATCATGTGTGCATCCCTGTTGTCCATCATGTGTGCATCCCTGTGTCCATCATGTGTGCATCCTTGCTGTCCATCATGTGTGCATCCCTGATGTCCATCACATGCGCATGCATGTGGATTCCTTGATTCTAGGTCACCTGCTCTGTCCTTACTTCCAGACCTCATCAAAACTACCACTGCATCTCTACCCTTTTTGTTTGTAGATTAGAATAGTTGCAATCTCGTTACTCTGAATTCATCTCTTCCCAATTAGATGTGGATTCCTTGCTGAGCATGGTGGCTCTTGTTTGTATTGTCAACACAATGGAGGTGACAATAAGATAATCTGGAGTTTAAGGCCAGTCTGGATGACAGAGTGACCTGTCTGTGTTGTAGGAGAAGACCCTGTGCTGGTGTATACATGTGCACACACACATGTTCCTTGCAGGTAGTCCAGGTATACACTGAACTTTGTCACCTTCCTGCCAGCAGAAGTTGCAGGACATGGTGAACATCAGGTCATTTTTGAACATAACATTTTTGTTTGTCATAAAAATCTCTTGGTGCTCCTCAGGAGAGATCCTTGGACCTGCCTTAGCAGAAAACACAGGACTCACAGAGCTTAACCTCAGTTGGAATCACCTTCGAGGCCCAGGAGCCGTTGCATTTGCCAAGGGCCTGGAGGTATGAGACCATCGCCCACTCAGTCCTCATAGCCTGCCTCTCCTTTAGGGAAGTTTTCCCCGAGCCAGTTCTTAACATGGTACGTCTGAGATGACCTGTTTTCCCACCACCAGGAAATGATAATACTCTGCACTGACTCTCAGTCTATTTCCTGAAGGGTCTCTAGGGGTCTGTAGATAGTGTCAGCTGCCCTCCTCCAGACATCACATTCAGCTGGTAGGGGACATCTGTGCAGCCTGGTGACATTATTAGCACACAGAGATGTGTGCCAGCACAACCCCATCAGTGCTTCCCTGAAAGGCTATAGATCTGGAAATAGATGTTTCAGGCTCTCCCAGGATATCATGAGGCATTGTCACTGTCCAATGACAATGACCTTGGAAACACAGCCCCTGCCATGCCCTCTTATAGAGCTGACTGCAGTGGGTAGGTGGGGGTCCCACCCCAGAAAGGGTCAGGTCAGAACACTCACCCTTCCCTAATCACAGTCTCTTGGGCAGGCTTCATGTAGGTGCCCTGTCCCCAGGTCTCTGCGCCCTAGGATACCTGCCTTGGGAATTTCCCCATAGGTGTGGATCTGATCATCTCTGAGAATTGCCCGTAACCCTACCCATCATCCTCTGCTGCTCTTCAGGTTGTTTGGTCACTGGTGCCCGAGAGCTCCTGCTAACTCTGTCCCAGGACCTCTCTGTCTTCGGCATTGCTCGGGCTCTCCCGCGCGCTGAGGCTGGAGCCCTAGCCCTATGGCATTCTGCACCATTAGATGTGAACTCACGGCTTTGCTCTCTATGTTCTAGGCAAATATATTCTTGAAAGTGCTAGATATCTCTCATAATGGCTTTGGAGACTCTGGAGCCTCTGCAATAGGCGAGGCCCTCAAGGCCAACAACGTGTTGGAAGAACTGAACATGAGGTGAGGAACGAGGGTGCCACTCTCGGCCACACAGTGATTGGATGCTGTTCACACTGCTCCTGCTGTGTGGCCAGAGCCTCAATGCTGCAGCGAGCTCTGCCCTCATTCAAGGCTGTTGCTGGGGGCTGGGGTGTAACTAAGTTGGTACAGTGCTTGTCTCGCATGCCTGCAAGCTGTGGGCTCATGGCCCCACATCACATAAATCAGGAGTGGTGTCTAGCATGCCCGCGGGCTGTGGGCTCATGGCCCCACATCACATAAATCACGAGTGGTGTCTAGCATGCCCGCGGGCTGTGGGCTCATGGCCCCACATCACATATACACATATATCACGAGTGGTGTCTTACTCCTTGTTTCACTTCTATTGCTGTGATGAAACATGCTGACGAAAAGCTACTTTAGAGGAAGGGTTCACCCAGCTTACAATGCAGGTTAGACGTAAGCACCTCAGGAAGAACACATCACACTCACAGCCAAGAGCCGAGAGCGTTCTTCACGCTGCTGCTCGCTGTCTTCACAGTTTATTTGTGGTGCCACCCACATCCGGGGTGAGTCTTTCTACATCGATTAGCAACCAGGACAACCCCCAAAGACACGTTGTAGGCCAACCTGACCTAGATAATTCCTATTCATTGAGACTCTTCCCGGTAATTCTATATCGTTCCAACTTTAGTATATGTGCTGCCAAAGCGAGCACGTCCAGATAATTCTAGACTGTGTCAAACTGACAATAAAAACTGACAGGCACAACCCATCCTTTGTTAACTTGACACACAAACACGTTAAGGCATAATTTCCCATCCCGGGTCCCCAAGGCCTCATGTTTATTTTACAATGTAAAATATAGGCCTTAAAATCCCAACACTTCAGGATAGGAGAGATGGCTCAGTAGTTAAGAGCATTTGTTGCTCTTATAGAGGACCCAGATTTGGTTTCTAGCCCCTACATAATATCTCACAATAAACCGCAAATCTAGTTCCAGAGACTCTGATGCCCTCTTCTGATTTCTGTGGGCAACAGGCACACATGTGGTGAATCTACATACATAAAGCAAAATGCTCATATACATATATATTTTTTTAAAAAATCCAGGATTTTAAACATCCAAGATCTTTTTGAAAGTCCAAAGTCTCAGCTGGGTGGTAGTAGCACATGTTTTTGATCCCAGCACTTAGGAGACAAAGGCAGGCAGGCAGATCCCTGAGTTTGAAGCCAACCTGGTCTACAGAGTGAGTTTCACGATAGCCAAAGATACAGAGAGAAGCCCTTTCTTGGAAAACAAAACAACCAAAAAACAAAACAAAACAAAAAAAGTCCAAAGTCTCCTTAAAAGTGCAGTCTTGAAGCTGGGACGATGGCTCAGAGGTTAAGAGCACTGGCTGCTCTTTCAGAGGTCCTGAGTTCAATTCTCAGCAACCACATGGTGGTTCACAGCCATCTGTAAGTAGATCTGGTGCCCTCTTCTGGCCTTGCAGGCAGACTACCATATACATAATAAATAAATATTTTTTAAAAATGGAGTTTCTTGGCGATGGAGAGATGGCTTGGGGATTCAGAACATATACTGCTCTTACAGAGGACCCGAGTTTGGTTTTCAGCTCCCACATCAGATGGCCCCCAACTGCTTGCAACTCCAGCTTCAGGGACCTGACAGTTTCTTTCTGAACTCATCAGGTTCTTGCACTCAACCTAATTAAAAAAAAAGAGAGAGAAAGAAAGAAAGAAAGAAAGAAAAAACTTTAAAAACCCAGAGTCTGTCACTGGGTTCTTCTAAAATCAAAAGCAAGCTGCATACTTAAACATTCTTATTCCAAGTGGGAAGAACTGGAGGATTAAAAACAATCACACCTAAGCAAAAGTAAAATCTGGCATGTGAATTCAATCATGTAGTTGTGTCCACCATTTGAGACTTGTCATCTTTGGGGCTCCAGAGGGTTTTAGTAGCCCCATCTCTGCACCCCACTAGCTGAAGCACATAGCTGTCTTCCTACCACTCCCCACCACACCTGCATCTTGGTGGACATCCCAGTTCTGGGATCTCTATTGCAACTGAGACCTCGCCTTCATCAGTGGTCCCTTGGGCCTCACCCTAACGCAACAAGCAGCAATGCCTCAGTTTCTCTCCATGACCTTCTCGACTATGCATCTTCCATGCTTTCAAAACCAGTTCTACATGGCAGCTTCCATCTACACAAGATGTAATCTAGCCTCCTTAGAACAGTGGTGTGGGAGGTCCTTCTGTGTGTGTGTGTGTGTGTGTGTGTGTGTGTTGCTTCTATTGGTTAATGAATAAAGAAGCTGCCTTGGCCTGTGATAGGGCAGACTAGAGCTAGGCGGAGAAAACTAAATGCTGGGAGAAAGAAGGCAGAGAGGAGAGAAGCCATGAAGCTTCTGCCAGAGACAGACTTGCCAGAATCTTGCTGGTAAGCCACAGCCACATGGCAATATATAGATTAGCAAGATGGGTTAATATAAGATATAAGAGTAAGCCAGAAATACACTTAAGCTATTGGCCAAACAGTATTGCAAATAATCTAGTTTCTGAGTGATTATTTCAGGTCTGGACAGCTGGGAACAGACAAATGGCCTCCTCCAACAGATCAGCTTCTGGTGCTGACCCTGGGGAATATTTCCCTTTTGTCCCTGAGATGCACAGGTCTTGTCTCGGTGCTGGTCTATTATAATTGCAGCTGATTCTTCAGCTCCAGCTAATCCGCACCCTATTGTCTCAATAAGCACAGGTTTCACTGCAATGGTCTTGACCTCCTCTTTGACAATCACAGCTGATTCTTCAGCCCCAGCTGATCAGCACACAGATTTTTAGCCAAAATATTCCGATTAACCATAAAAACTTTGCTCCTTTCTGAGATGTGATATAGGGCTTCATTGCTGCTGGCATTTCAGCATTACCCTCTTTCCAGCACCCTCAAGAACTACCTGGTAAGCTCTACCCATAGCAGTCAGTGACTTTTCCAGTCTTCAATCGCAATGTTTTCCATACCTGTAAATCCAGCACTTAGAAGGCAGAGGCAGGAAAAATCAAAAGTTCAAAATCATCCTCAGCTATATAGGAGTTACAGGCTAGCCTGTCTTTTTTTTTCTCCTTGAGACAGGGTTTCTCCATGTAACCCTAGCTATCCTGGAACTCTCTCTGTAGACCAGACTGGCCTTGAATTCAGAACTCTGCCTGCCTCCGCCTCCCAAGTGCTGGGTTTAAAGGTGTGTACCACGACTGCTCAGAAGACTCTATCTTAGGAAGAAAAAAAAAAAGAGAAAGAAGTCAGTATTAAGTATGTAGGCCTGGCTTCAGAGACAACAATTTGGAGGACTGGGGTTCAGGTCAGAAATTGCTATGGTAATGGGTATGGTTGCCAGCGGGCACAAGACACACAGGAGCATCTTCTAAGCTCAAAGAGCCTAGGAGCTGGCACCCCTCCTCTCCACTGGGGGCACTCTAAGTGTGCTTGCCACCCATGGGGCAGCAGTATACCCCCGCCCCCGTGACCTGGGCCTGAGAGGAGAGCTGCACTGTGAAACCCAATCTGCGGGAAGCAGCTCAGGCAGGGGCTCCGAGGCACTGAGTCCTGCAAACTGGAAATCTGTGATGCAGATGGGGTTAGCTGGGATGCTTCCTCACGTGCCTGCAGATGTGCTGACCCCATCCAGCCTCCCTTTTATTTTATTTTCCTTTTCTCCTCTTCATATCTGTCCTGATCTCTAGTAATTACTAATATACTTTCCAGGTTGTTGTTGTTGTTGTTATTAGTGTTTGTGTAGGCTTTCTGTCTGGCTTGTTTCACTTAACATAATGCCCTCCTGGTCCATCCATTTGCTTCAGATGACACAGTATTTCTTTCTTTATGGCTGAATAGACTCTATTGTAGATACACACTACATTTCATCTATCCATCCATGTATTAGTGGGCTCCTTTGCTGATTAACTCTGACACATATGTTTCTCTTGCTGCAGAAACAACCGAATCTCCATGGCAGGGGCCCTGAGGTTGGGACTGGGACTGCAAGTCAACCAGACACTTCGTTTTCTTATTGTAAGTCTGAGCCTGGTCGGGGAGGCTCCAGCACAGACTGACCCTGTGTCTCTTCGTACAGCCCTTTCTTCCACCAGCCCCTTCACTGCAGAGACAGCACATGGGCATCTCTGGGAGGGGACCTCCTAGCTTCCTGTGACCACACTCACCTCTGACTCCTCCTTTCCACCCTTTTCCCAGTGGCCCTGGCAACTCCCTGCGGTTCTTTGTCCTGCTCACAGGAGTTCCACGGTGGGGAAGGCAGCCACGCATCCCTCAGCTTACTCTCATTCTCTCCCCTGTGCCTCCGCTGTCCCCAGTGAAACCCAGGGTCAGCTCAGGGGTGCTGACTGGCCATAGTTGAGACATGCCTGAGGTTTTTGTGTCCAGAGGTTTGCAGGTGATGAGTGGGGCACTAGACAGGGTGATAGCAAAAACAGAAGGGAAGGAGCCAGGTGAGGTGAGCAGTTCTCTGCTGTACCAATGTGTATGGGGGAGGAGACTGGGGAGGGGGTGTTCATCTCAGCATGGGAGTTGGAGTGTGCCTGGCTCTGCCTGGCCCCTAGTTTCCCAGTCATTAGCAATTCCACCTCCTGTGACATAGAAACCAAGACCAATTTTAAGTTCATGTTTCCAGCTACCTGTTAGACAATCCCCAAGACACAGTGAGTCTCAGAATCCCACCTGGATGAACAACCTCTTTTCAGGGGGTTGGGGCCCACAGACTATTTTCTCACCCCAATATCTACAGAGTTCACTGCTGGATCCACCCTCTTCGCACTTCCCTTCCATAGGTCCTATTGATCTAGTTCACCAGCCCTCCCAGTACTTGGTGATTATTGTCAATCAGAAGCATGGTCTACTAAGAACATTCTTTTTATTGTTGTTGTTTTAAGGTAATTTGTTGGCTTTTGTTTTTTATGTGTGCCTGGGTAAATAGAAGTAACAGGGCACCAGACCTGGGAACTGGATTTACAAGTAGTTGTGAGCTATCCCACGAGGCTGCTTGGTACTGAATTGGATCCTCTTTAAGAGAAGCAAGTGTCTTAACTGCTAAGCTGCCTCTCAAGACCTTGGTTTTTGTGTTTTGTTTTAAATTTTTTAAGATTTATTTATGCTTGAGTGTTTTACATATATATATATATATATATATATATATATATATATATATATATCTGTGTACCACATATATGTCTGGTGCCCTTCAGGGGCCAGAAGAGGGTATCAGATCCCCTGAGACTAGAGTGGGTGGTAGGAATTGAACTCAGGTTCTCTGGAAAAGAAGCCAGTGTTCTTAGCCACCAAGCCATCTCTTCAACCCTTAGTGGGCTCTTAACTTGGTAAGTAGTCTTGAACTAATCCTCCTGCTTCTACCTCCTGAGCACTGGGGTTATGGGCATGAGTCCCCATAAAAGGCTCTAGTATCCTGGTATATTCATCTTTCTTAGATTTCCAAGAATCCCATTCGAAGTGAAGGATATGTCAGTCTCCTTAAGTCCATCCGGAACAACAGATCATCTGCCCTGGAACTGCTGGACCTCTCTGTAAGAGCTTCTTTTGAGCCTCCTGTGATCTGCCAGGAGATCTGAGAGCTAGTGACATCCCCATGTTAGAGTACAGTGGGGGAGACAGCTAGAGCTAGTGACATCCCCATGTTAGAGGACAGTGGGGGAGACATCTGAGAGCTAGTGACATCCCCATGTTAGAGGACAGTGGGGGAGACATCTGAGAGCTAGTGACATCCCCATGTTAGAGGACAATGTGGAGTCAGCTAGAGCTAGTGACATCCCCATGTTAGAGGACAATGTGGAGTCAGCTAGAGCTAGTGACATGCCCATGTTAGAGGACAATGTGGAGTCAGCTGTCCTATTCCTGCCCAGGTACACGGTAAACCAGGCCTGTGGGACATTAAGCCACTCCAACTCGTTCCATTGTATGTTAAAAGTCTATAATTTAAAATTTTATGTTACAGGAGGTTACAACTGAGAGATTGCCTTGAGTCTCTGAAAGAATTTGGACTTTTAAATAGTGTTTTATTTTATTTTGAGATGGACTCTCTATGTAGCTCTGACTGTCCTGGAGGTTACTACATAGACCAGGCTAATCTTACATACTTGTGTGCATACTCACAGAGAACCGCTTGCACCTACCTCCCGGAATTAAAGGCCTACTACCACACCTGGATTTTAAAGTCCTGAGACTAAAAGACTATGGGAACTTTTGAAGTTGGACTAAATGCATTTCACATTATGATCTGGCCACGAGCCTAGGGGCGGGCAGAAATGGAATGTGGTGTTGAATGAGAATGGTCCCCGTACACTCATGTGTTTGGATGCTTAGGCCCCAGCTGGTGGAACTGTTTGGTAAGGATTAGGAGGTGTGGCTGAGGTGTGTCATTGGGGTGGGTTTTGAGGTTTCAAAAACCCACAACATTTCCAGTTAGCATGTCCTCTCTCTCCCTGTCTCCTGCTTGTAGATTATATGTACGCTTTTAGCTACTGCTCAATGTCCTGCCTGCCTGCTGCCATGCTCCCCACCTGATGGTCATGGACTCTAACCCTCTGGAACCATGAGCCCCAATTAATTTTTTTCTTTGTAAGTTGCCTTGGTCATGGTATCTCTTCACACATGACTAATTCACACAGTGACTAATTCACCAGGATCCTCTAGAAAAGCTCACAAAAGTGGACATGTCAGGACCTCCGTGCAAGTGATACTGTAGTGACAATAGTGAGGTTGTGTCAATGTCAGTGATGCTGTGGTGACAATAGTGAGGTTGTGTCAATGTCAGTGATGCTGTGGTGACAATAGTGAGGTTGTGTCAATGTCGATGATGCTGTGATGACATCAGTGATGCTGTGATGACGTCGGTGATGCTGTGGTGACATCAGCGGCGCTGTGATGACATCAGCAGCGTTGTGATGACATCAGCAGTGCTGTGATGGCATCAGCAGTGTCGTAATGACATCAGTGATACTGTGATGACATCAGTGATGCTGTGATGACATCAGCAGTGCTGCAATGACATCAGTGGTGCTGCGATAACATCAGTGGTGCTGTGATGACATCAGCGGTGCTATGATGACATCAGTGGTGCAATGACATCAGTGATGCTGTGATGATATCAGTGATGTTGTGATGACATCAGTGGTGCTGTGATGACATCAATGGTGCTGTGATGACATCAGTGGTGCTGTGATGACATCAATGGTGCTGTGATGAGATCAGCGGTGCTGTAATGACATCAGTGATCCTGTGGTGACATCAGCGGTGCTGTGATGACATCAGGTGTTTTGTTTTGTTTTGTTTTATTTGATTTTGGTTTTTCCAAGACAGGGTTTCTCTGTGTAGCCCTGGCTATCCTAGAAATCCCTCTGTAGTCCTGGCTGGCCTCAGACTCACGAAGATCCACCTGCCTCTGTCTCCTGAGTGCTGGGTTTCAAGGCATACGCCACCACTGCCCAATAACATCAAGTCTTTTGAAGATACAAACTCTTATTAGTGCACCTGCATTGGGGAAATCCATGATGCCTTCATTTCTGATATAGTAGAGACAACCTAACTGTAGCTTTAAGGATGTTTAAACATAAAGGGTGTTCTGACTGTCAGGAGACTTGGATACCAAGTGCTGCTGCAATTTTCCTCAGTATTCTCATACTTAATCCTTTGCTGCCTGCCTGCTGCCAGCCAATCTGACTAGCCTAGATTTTATCTGGCTTTGAGGGATGTGCTTATAGACCAAGTAAAGTTTTAACATTATGTAAAAGAAGGCAAATGCCCACCTTCCCCCACCATGAAAATGAGATAAAAGATGCTTTTGGTGAAGTGTGCCTTTAATCCTGGCTACTGGATGAGGCAGGGGGATTACTTGAGACAAGTCCAGGCATCATAGTGACATCCCAGATTCATTAAAAATTTTATACTTCTTTTTTAGATTTATCTATTTTTATTTATGTGTATGATTTTTCCCCTGTTTATATGTATGTTCGTTGCCTGCCTGCCTGCCTGGTGCCCAAAGAGGCCAGAAGAGAGTGCCAGATTTCTTAGAACTGGAGTTGCCAGTTGTAAAGCTGCCATGTGAATGTTGAGAACCAAATCCAGGTCCTCTGCCAAAACGGCAAGCACTCTTAACTGCTCATCCATCTCTCCAGCCCTCCAAACCCCTCATTTTAGACTTTAAAAAGTTTTAAACCTTGTCTCATAAAACAAACAAAAATCATTAAAAATTGAGATATGAAATGTGATGACAGACCTGTAGAAAGAGCTTTCAGGAAAATGGGAGCTACAGCTCCGCAGTTCAAAGCACGCTTTGCTCTTGCAGAGGACCCATGTTCAACTCCCAGCACCCACATGGTGGCTCACATCCATAACCCCAATCCTAGGGGATCCAATGCCCTCTTCTGGACATGCATGTGGTGTACAAACACACATACAATCAAAAAACTCATGTACATAAAATAGCAAAGTAAAAATAAATCTAGAAAAACAAAAGAGAGGTACTTACATGAAAAGACTCCAGTAACTGGTTCTTTCCAAGCCATTCCTTTAATTGTTTATTATAGAATCCCAGAACTTGGTGGGGGTACAACTGAGCAGTTCAGAATTTCAAGGCTGGCATCAGCTATAGAGTGAGCTTGAGGCCAGACTATAATGTGAGACCTTGTCTCAAAACACAAATAAATAAAACAAAACAAAAAAGGAATTGAATAAATTAAAGACAGCAATCAAATAGCATACATTCATGTAACTAAACCAGATCAAGAAATAGTACATACATGTCTTAGTTACTTTCTTACTTCTTACAAAACACGACTAAGGCAATTTATAAATGAAAACATTTAATTTTAGACTCGTGGTTACAGAGGGTGAGTCCATGACTATTGTCTTAATATGTTTTTTTTTTCCCTCTGAGACAAGGTTTCTCTGTAGCTTTGGAGCCTGTCCTGGCACTAGCTCTTGTAGACCAGGCTGGCCTCGAACTCACAGAGATCCGCCTGTCTCTGCCTCCCGAGTGCTGGGATTAAAGGCGTGTGCCACCACCATCGGGATTTAGTTAGGGTTTCTATGGCTATGAAGAGATACCATGACCATGCAACTCTAATAAAGGAAAATGTTTAATTGGGGTAGCGGCTTACAATTGCAGAGGTTCAGTCCGTTATCATCATCATGGAAACCATGGTGACATGCAGGCAGGCATCTAGGAGACACTAGGCGGTAGGTATCCTGAGACACTAGGCGGTATCCTGAGACATCAGGCGGTAGGTATCCTGAGACACTAGGCGGTAGGTATTCTGAGACACTAGGCGGTATCCTGAGCATAGGAAACCTCAAGGTCCACCCCATAGTGACATACTTCGTCTAAAAAGGCCATGCCCACTCCAACAAAACATACCTCCTAATAGTGCCACTCCCTATGAAATTACTCAATTACATCAAACTAGCACAACCATCATGGGAGGGAGCATGGCAGCAGGCGGGTAGGCATGATGATGGAGCAGATGCCAAGTGCTTACATCCTGATCCACAAGTGTGAGGCAGGGAGGGCTCCTGGGAATGGTGTGGGAGTTTGAAAACTCAAACCCCACCCCAGCCCCCTACCCCTGTCACTCACAGTGACACACCTCCTCCAACAAGGCCACACTTCCTAATCCTTCCTCAAGCAATTCAATCAACTGGGGACCACACATTCAAATATATGAGCCTATGAGGGTCATTCTTATTCACATTACCACAATGCCTCCTTGAGTTCCTTTCCTTCCCTATTTTGATAGAATGAGGAGGGGGGCCATGAGATCCTAGTCCACAAGAAAGGAAAATGCCCCAAAGAGCTTCTCTGAGGGCTGGGTATGCAAATGAGAACAATCATTTCTCAGTGCTAATAACTACCTCTCAACGGTCTCTTCTTAGGATATCCAAGTGAACAGAGAGTGTGATGACCTCGCTAACTCAGTGAACACAATTCTTCCAGGACTTTGTATAAAGAATAACATATCCAGAAGAAAAGACTGGCCATCAGCCTCCACACCTTCCCAGACAGCATCTGCCCCAAGTGCCTCTGGTCTCTCTAGTATGCCACTGTAATGTCCACACTGCTGCCCACTCGATATACCATGTGCTCTATGGCATCTGCCATAATCTGGGCTTCATTTGCTATGGCTCCTTCATTCAACCAAAAAAACTTCCCATAAATAATGTAGACGTAAGGACAATGACATCGCTGTCATCCAGGTGTTCCTGTTCTGGTGACCCTGTCAGACGAAATATAAGGAGAGATGCCAATGGATTTCCCAAACTCTCGAGAAGGCAAACAGTTAGAACCACTGGAAGGCAAGTTTCCATTGCATTCCAGACTGTCAAATCACCATGTGCTTCAGGCTATCCCACTGACTAATCTGCTCTACAGACATAGCCAGAGCTGCACAGACAGCCTATGCCGACCGCGCAGGTGCGTAACTCAGCAGAGTGTGTGCCTAGCATACAGAAAACCCTGGGTTTGATTCCACAGCACCATAGAAAGAAGCACAGTTATGCATGCCTATGATTTGAGCACTTCAGAAGTGTAGGCAAGAGAAACAGAAATTCAAGGCCATCCTCCACAACATAGTTGAGTTTGAGGCCAGCCTGGCCTACATAAGACCCTGTCTCAAACAAGAAAAATAAAAAAGGTGTTTATAGAGCTGGTGGCATGCGCTTGTGATTCTGGCCCTTGGGAGACAGCGTCAGAAGCAGAGTGACTTAAGACCAGACTGGGGTACACAGTGAGACCCTGCTTGAAAGAATCATGGATGCCTAGAGACAGTCCCTAAAGACAGCTCTGTGTCATGACGAAGCTGATTGAAATGTGAATGTTCTCAGGAGAAATGAGAGCTCATCACACAAATGCCTGTGATGGGAGCCAGGGAGACAGTCCAGAAGGTAAAGGCTCTTGCTACCACGCATGATGCCCAGACCTTGTGCTCCAGAGCCCACATGGTGGAAGGAAAGAATGGGCCCCCACAGTTGTCCTCTGACCTCCACACATATGCTGTGGCAATGCATCCCTCCACACACATAAATAAATAAATGTGGTGAAAATAATTTAACACCTCACAACTGTTCTTAGCAGCACCGCTCATAATATCCAGAGTGTCCAAAAGATGCCAGTGGATCAATTCTATTAGCACATACACATAGTGGAGTACTGTTTACCACAAAGGAATAAATTTTGTGGCCATTAACGATATAAAGTTGATTATGGTGATTGTTATACAGCTGCAAATGTGGTAGAAGTCAGGCTAGCAAATGCATCATTTTGAAAGAATGAGTTAATTATATAATAATAAAGTTGCTTTTGAAGGAAAGCCATCGGTTCCCACATAGATGGAACTTTAGATAAGCTGTGAGACAATAGTCAAAGATCACGTATTGTATGAGTCTCTTTCTGTGAAATGTCCAGATTAGACCAATACACACATGGTAGACTCTAGGGTATGGAGAACCCAGGGTTGACAGCTACAGGATATGGATTTCTGTTTATTTTTTATTGATGTGCTAAATCACCATGACCAAGGCAATGTATAAAAGAAAGTATTGGGGGCTGAAGAGATGGCTCAGCAATTAAGAGCACTGAATGTTCTTTCAGGGGACAAGGATTCAATTCCCAGCACCCACATGACAGCTCACAACTATCTGTAACTCCAGTTCCAGAGGACCCAACACTTCTTCTGGTCCTCAAGGGGCACTGCATGCATATAGTACACAGACACACAGGCAGGCAAAATACCTATACACATAAAAAAATTTCTTAAAAGTGCCAGGTGTTGGTGGCACACACTTTTAATCCTAGCACTCGGGAGGCAGAGACAGGTGAATCTCTGTGAGTTCAGGGACAGCCTGGTCTACAGAGCAAGTTCCAGGAAGGCTCCAAAACTAGAGAGAAACCTGTCTCAAAAAAAGAAAAAACAAAAAAATTTAAAAAGTAGTGAAAATAAAGAGAGACATTTAATTTGGTTTATGGTTTCATAGGGTTGCAGTTCACAGTGACTAAATGAAGGAACAGCTGAAAGTTCATGTCTTGATCCACAGCCACAGGCAGAGAGAGCTCTGGGAATCTCAAGGGTCCCTTGAGACCTCAAAGCCTGCCCCGGTAACACACTTCCCCCAAGGCCACAGATCCTGATCCTTCCTGTGTCAGGGTTCTCTAAAGGAACAGAACTGATAGACTGAGATCTATATGAATCATTGACAGTGCTTAGAGGCTATGGTCCAAATAGTCCAGCAATGGCTGATGGAAAGGCTGAGGAGGAGCCAGCGGGTTCAGTCCATAAGCCTAGATGTCTCGGCTGTCCCTTCTGGTGCTGGAGTCCCAGGGAAGCCCTAGACAGCTGCCCATCTTCCATCTACGTTAGAATCCAAATAAGTCAGTTTTAACACCAGCAAAGGAACGCCTCAGGGACGGGACAGATGAGCTTGACGGCGAGAATGAGGACAAGGAGGCAAAAAAAGCAAACACTTCTTTCTTCCCCGTCCTTCCTGTGGGGTCAGAAGCAATGCTGGGTGGGATGCCATGTCTGTGATGTACTAAGATGCTTGTATATGAGGGAGTAAGGGAAGACACACACAGTCTTGATGGTTTCCTTCTGACTTTTTCTTTATTCTTCCTCTTATTTTTCCTCTACATTTTCCTGGTTCTCTCTCTCTCTCTCTCTCTCTCTCTCTCTCTCTTTGATTTTTTGAGACAGGGGTTCTCTGTAGCTCAGACAAGGCTGAACTCAGAGATCCGCCTGCCTCAGCCTCCCTATGGTGGGATTAAAGGCGTGCATCACAACCGCCCGGCCCTTCTCTCATTCTTGATGTTTTCCTTCTAACTCACTTTATTTTTTTTTTTTTTTGTTTTTCCGAGACAGGGTTTCTCTGTAGCTTTGGAGCCTGTCCTGGCACTAGCTCTTGTAGACCAGGCTGGTCTCGAACTCACAGAGATCCACCTGCCTCTGCCTCCCAAGTGCTGGGATTAAAGGCGTGCGCCACCACCGCCCGGCCTAACTCACTTTATTTTTTCCCTTACAGCTTATATACCCCACCAAAATATCTTAGGCAATATAAAAATTACAATGTTGTTATATTCTATTTTTCAAGACAATGATTACAGTGAATACAAGTAAAAAAAACCAGCATGTTTTCCCTATCCCTCACGTGATTAAACATTGTAGGTATTACAGGTGAAAAACAAGTTGTCCCAAGAACCCAGATACATTCATGTCCAAGCAACTTGTTATAGGTTAACAGAGTGTGAGCAAGCAAGGTATTTTTCTTAGCCAGTTCTTTTGCTGGTAGGCTGCATTTTGTGGTTACAAAGGACAAAGGTTACAAAGGTTATTATTTACTTCAAAAGATACTTTTATAAGAAATCTTAGAAAAATCACAAATATAAACTTTTATATATGAAAAACAATCAATCAGCTCTACTTTAAATCCTCAGGGTACATACCCACTCATTAACAGCTGTTTATATCAGAAGAAGAGGGTAGAAATGGGCACAAGGAATTAACATCATCCCATCCGGGCTGCTTTGTTCTTGTTTCCTGACCTTAAAGAGTTCCTCACTCAACTATGCTTCTTTCTAATGAGTTTTTTTCTTCTACCTCAAAGCTATTTGACAAAAACATATAAGTTAAGTTATTTTCAAAGTTTTGTTTTAGCTATGATGCACTCTGAAACATGGAAACACATCTCCCAACATTAAGATTAAAAGAATATAGCCTGGTGGTGGTGACACACTCCTTTAATCCCAGCACTTGGGAGGCAGAAGCAGGCAGATCTCTGTGAGTCTGAGACCAGCCTGGTCTAAAAGAGCTAGTTCCAGGACAGCCAGGGCTATTACACAGAGAAACCCTGTCTCAAAAAAAAAAAGATTAAAAGAATATAAGTGAGCTGAGCTTCTGAAACTCAAATGTTTTTCTTATTCTTTAACTTTAGCCACAGCCTATATGACTCCTCAATAGAAATTCAAGTGTTCTAGCTGTGGCACATTTCCTTGTTTCATTTATTTATTTATTTATTTATTTTTGGGTTTTGGAGACAGGGTTTCTCTGTAGCTTTGGAGCCTGTCCTAGAACTAGCTCTTATAGACTAGGCTGGCCTCGAACTCACAGAGATCCGCCTGCCCAAGTGCGGGGATTAAAGGCGTGCACCACCACCGCCCAGCTCCTTGTTTTATTTTTTATCCTCTGCAGCCTCTATTTTATCAGAGGCAGGGACAACATTTTATCCTACCTTTACCTATGCTAATTTTTCCACTAAACTAACCTTTATCAAAATTCTTTACTATATTTACTAAAAACCTTCAATCATCAAAATCCTATTTTAACTGACACTATTATTATATAAAATTATTGCTTCAGTTAAACAATACCACTTATGAGGAAATCATCTTCATAATAATCCACAGGTTAAAAACGCCCAGTAGAATGAGCTTTGTCCAAGAGATGGTTATACTGCATTAAGGGCAGTGGGGTCTGTCTCCCCATGCCCATCCATACCATGTCAGATACCAGAGAAAAATGGCAGCAGTAAACACACAAAGACAGAGCAATAGCAAGAAGTATTCTGGAGCTGCAAGTCCAAGGGTCTTCTTGCCTATCCAGGATTCACTGATCAAAGTTTTGTTTTCTAGTGGGTCGATCCCCTGAAGTCCATTGCCATCTGCTGCTCCTCTGACATGGCCACGGGCACGTGGGTGTAATTTGGCAGAATCATTATGTGGAAAGGCAAATCCATAACCAGAATAAGTATCTACTTCAGTAAGGACAAAGCATTGCCTTCCCACAGAGGAAGTGGCCCAGTGTAGTCAACCTGCCGCCAGATTGCTGGCTGGTCATCCTGGGAAAGGTGCCAGGTTAGGGACTGTGTTGATCTCTGGCAGATGGGCACTCAGCCGCAGCTGCAGTCAGATTAGTCTTGCTGAGTGGGAGTCCATGTCCTCAGACCATGCATAAATCCCATCTCTGATATCATGATCCCCTTCGGGGGCCCATTGGTCAATGGCAGAGATGTTGGGGAAGAGACTGACTGTCCACAGCATGGGTCATCCTACTTAATTACTGAACTTCTCAGCTGAAGTCACCTTTGATGAGCGTTTACATGGGACACAAGTATCTTCACATCCTTC